TGCATCTTCCTGCCCTCCTCCCTCGGTCCAGCCTCACTGCCTCCCCACGTCGGCAAGGTGGGAGGGGTGGGGAATGAGGTCCTCCAGCTACTGCAGTTAGAGCACTCAAAAAATGTGCCTCAGATCACAAGTTCATCGTTGAGCCAGCGCTAGTCCTCCCATCTCCATCTTATCTCTGGCCCAGACCCTCTTTCCCAAGCCAGGGGCTAGGAAGCAGTCACTCTAGGGCATCCTAATACCTGCTCGGAGCCCCACATGGAGTGGAGAGGGCCAGCGATGAATCAGGTTCTGTCTTCAGAACCTCACAGTCTGGGAGAAACAGTCCTCCTTAACCCTGACACGTGCTGAAATAGGCCCTTTGCTGGCGGAAAAGGCCCTGGAGGGAGACTTTCAGGCCAAGGAAAGCGCACAGGCCACGTACTGAGGCTTACGGAGCCTGCGGTGGCTGGAATGGAGGATGGGAAGGTGCCTGGAAGCAGGCTGGGTCAAGGCTCTCTCCTTCTTGTCCCTGTCATCATGCTTCCTGACATCAGAGCGGCTCCCAGGAGCTGGGACTGGACGTCACCTTCATTCATCCTTGAAAGAAGCCTGTGGTGTCTCCATTTGGTTGATGAGAACACTGAGTTCCAAGTAGCTTTCTTTCCTCTATCTGCCCCAGCACACTCTGGGCCTTGGCTTTTACCTGGATGCTGCTCCCCACGCCCCTGACCCTGCCCCAGGTGGACCCACCCCTACCCTTTCATCAGCACCAGCTCTCAGCACTTCCCAGGCCCTGAGCTGCTTAGCAGCCCCTGCCTGGAAACCTTGGCATGTGACTATACATCGTGCCCTCCGGGCTGTCCCACAGCTCAAGTCCCAGGGTGTGCAGGCGGGTCTCTCTCCAGAGCAGCTGCCTTGGATGGAATGCGTGGCTCTACAACCCCAGCTCACCCCAAGCAAGCAGCACTGCCCTGTTTTGCAATGTGCTCGCAGATACCTGCTCCCATTGGAATCCCTGAACGCACTCTGAGGGGATTATCCTCCCCGAGGTACAGAAACTGAGGCTCAAACAAGCTCAGGGACTTCTGTATCCCATGGCGACAAAGTGGCAGAAGCAGGTCTGGGGGAATACCAGAGTGGATGCGCTTACTGCGGTGTGACCCGGAAGAGCAATTCACTGCCTGAACCCCAATTCCCTGACCTCTGAAATGAGGGTGAAAGTACCTGGGAGTGCTACTTATGGGGTTGGGTGGCGGTTAAAGGAGAGACTGGAAAAGAAAGAGCACCTACTGGGTGCTGTTAGGTCCCATCATGCCTGCACACAGTAGGCACTCAACAAGCTGGGACTCAGTGACCCGGCACGGCCAACAGCAGGTCAGCATAAAGAGTTGGGCAAGGAGGGGTGAAGGAATTCAAGAGGATTATTTTGTAATCAGCTGAACGCCTAAGCTGCCTGGGAAAAACTAGGATCAGACAGTTCACTTAATTTATTCAACAGATGACTGTGGAACACTTAGATGAGCTGGCCTGGTGACGATGGTGACAGCGACTCTCATTTATTTCTACCATGTACCAGGTAATCACGCAGAGTCTCATCACACCAACCCTGTAAGCTGGTGTGTAAGATATTCCCTACAAAGATTTTTTTTTTTTCCTCCCTCTATAAGGGAAGGTACTAATCAGGCCTGGGACAAAGGAGAAACATGTGGAATACAACTTTAAGGAGGCTCTCGCTGTTAGGACTCTTATGCTGCTGGTCTCCCCTTGTCCCCACCTGTGCCTGTGATGGGCACTGTGCCGCCCAGACCCCCTTCCGTGACTTGTCCTAGCCGGTGCGGGTGCTGCCAGTGGACAGCCGTCCCCTGGCAGTGCCCTGAGGCGGCAGCCACCCCCGCAGCCCCCCATGAGGCTGGCCAAGGCTCTTCTGTCTGGTCTGCTCCAGCCCTTCCCGTCCACAGCTGCTGATCCTTAGGGCCGTCCCTGATAAACTTCTTGAGCGCTGAACAGCAACAGACTCTGCTTCCTGGGGGGCGGGAGGCACCTGCAACAGGGTGCCTGTTGGAGTAACCCCATGCTAGCTGGTTACAACTAGTCTTTCTGAAGACTTGAATATAAAGGTATCCCTGAAAAGCCCAGGCTCAGGGAGGAAAAGCTAGAAACTACACTATTCTAAACCACTCATATGAGTTGACTTATTTCATCTCCACAGCAGCTCTGTGGGGAGGTGCTATTAGCATTTCCATTTTGCACATGATTCAAGAGAAGTCTTGGGGGGGGGGGACTACCTTGTGATGAAATCCAGTCACCTTTGAAAAGAGCATTCAAAATGATGGACTTTGGCCTGGGGAAACTTTCATCTGAAAAGAAAGAAAAAAAGGTGGAAAAATATCTTCTCCGTGCCACAACTCAGCTCCTAACCTTGAGGGAGCCTGACTTTTAACTCCAAAGACCCAGGCTGTGTATGGGAGTGAAATCCACAAGCCCGAGGTGGCTTTAGGAAGTAGCCCTGGGGAAGAGGTGAAAGATACACACGGATCCGCTGATAGGTGGTGGGTCCCCCGTCCAAGAACCAAGACTCAGAAGTTAAGGTGACTTGCTTCAGGTCAGGCAGCTAGTAAGAGCTGCTCCTGGAACTGGATCCCAAGGCTGTCAGAATACAGATTTCTTCATGCTGCCAGGAAAGACATTTCATCCTCCAAAGAATCCTCCATAGGGTATCAAGGATTTGGGGATCCGGGTGATGGACTGCCGGAGCCTTACCTTCTATTCGGTCCGCCTGTCTGCTGTCCAACTTGTCAGGAGCCCAGCTGGGAAGGATTGGGGGCTGGAAATAGCTCAGCAGCTGGATTCCTTCTATACACCCCCTTCCACCCTGCCTTGATGCTACAAAGTAGCAGGTGTTGAGTTTTCATTGTAATCTCTTCCATATGGAGAGCACTTCGAGTTAACCAGTTGCTTGTTAACCCATCCCTGAATTTGCTTTTCACTTACTGTGTGAGGCTTACTGCCTTAGCGGGGCAGGGATATTAACCCCATTTTACTAGTGGGAAAACTGAGGCTCATAGAGAAGGGAATCAGGACAGTGTCCAGACAAGGGCCAGTCCCTCCTATCCCAATCTAGTTCCCTGGCTTTTATCTCTGGGTTTTGGGCAAAGCTGGGGCAAACATTCGCCATTCTGAGCCCAAAGCTCAGGGCAGTACCTTTTCAGAAGCCTATCTGTCCTTCCTCCCCATTCTGTCCCAGAAAGCTTCATTTTCTTAAGGGAAACCTTTATTCATTTGCCAAACACCTCCTGTCATCCACTCCATGCCTATCGTGGGAGCTCCAGAGCCAATGCCGACAGTGTACCCTGAATGATCTCACAGGCTGGACAGAAGAGTCCTGTTAACGAACAACCTTGGCACTAGAGTGAAGCCCAGCCAGTGTTCCTCTCCAGAGTCTCTGGAATTCATTTTCCTCTCCACGCCACTGCCCTGTCCCAGCTGGTCCTCAGCGTCTCTGACCTGGTCTCCTCTCTGCCTTCAGAACTTCTCTCCTGGACTCCCATCCCCCTGAAATGATCCCTGAAACACCTAGGGATCTTTCCAGAGCGTTAACAGCGGAGGGTGGGCCGGGAGCTCACCGTGGTGAACAGGACGAGGACAAATCCTGCCAGGCCTCTCCTCTGCAGAATGGGGATGGTGCCTACTTCACAAAGTTGCTGCAAAGCCATTAGACCTTTCTAGAGAGGCCTTATGCACACCCTGTACTCGTATGATTCCTCCCTTTGAACGGGTTCTTCATTTATATGCCATCTTCTCCAAATCCTAAACGTGGACTCATCCTTGTCACTGCCTCCAGGAAGCCTGAATGGACACACCTCCAAGCAGCTGAAACCACTCCTTCCTCTCAGTTTGTGTACCTGGCCATCCAGTTTTCTAGTCCTTGGCACTCTTTCTTGCACCAAGGTGAGCTGACTTCCAGGTCCTCCCCTTCCACCTGGAGTGTGACTCCAGCAGGGCGCTGACCAGGTTGGCACAAGGCCTAGAATAAAGCCAGCGCCAGTCTGTGGCTAAGCATCCTTACCATTCACTGAGGCTGCCTAGGTGTCTGGCCTTAGGTGGCTAAAAGCCTCACATGGCATTTGGTCCTCGTAACACCTGAGATGGGGACCACAGCTCTTGAGGAAATAGCCTCAGAAGCCTGAATGGACGGTGTCTTGGCCAGGGAGGAGAGCCAGCATTCGAAGCCAGAAGTGTCTGAATCCTCAGGTACCACCCAGCTTCCCTCTGGCCTACAGGCTGCCCAGAGCAAACAGGTGAGGGCAGCACCGCCAAGCTCTCCCACCCCTCCCAGGAGCTGAGAAGTCAACCTAGGTGCCTTTGGGTTTCACTGCACCGCCAGGCAGCCTGTGCCTTCCAGATTATGATGTAACAGTTGCACAACTCATGATATCTTTTGAAAGAAACTGCCAGTTTCCTCTCCTGGGCACTGCCAGGGGCTGTGGCTTCCATCCCACCCAGGGTCCCCCAACGGCCTGGGGATTCGAGAAGCCAAATACAGAGCAGGGTTGTTGAAGTGGTAAAGAAATGAGAACGCAAGACTGTAAAGTGACCCAGTTTTATTTTGGTTTTTGGAGGCCAGTGGGGCCTTGCTCCACTGTACAGGGATTAGGGCTGTACAAGCTTCCCCTCCCCAAGGCGGGGGGCCCAGCGACCTGGGGGCCCAGGCGGCGGGGTGGAGGCCTCGTGGATGGGCGGCTCCAGGGGCCCACTGACCGCAGCGGGTTGCACAAGGAGAGAAGGGGCATCAGGCAGCAGCCTGCTATGGCTCAGATTGGGGGGCGGGGTAAGGGAGAATCCGAGAGGACAGAGTCCAAGAACCGGGAGTCCGAAAGGGGGTCCAGTACCCTTCACTTTACCGCTGAGGCTCCGGGTCAGAGAGGTGGAGCTGAACTGTCATCCTGCAGGAGGCCGAGCCTGGACAGAGGCCTGGAGTCCCAGGCCGGCGTCGGGCTCGGAGCGCCAACCCGCTGACCCGCTGCCTCCACCCTCACGGAGGGTGCGCGCGGGGCCCGGGCGCTTGGGGCGGACTCCGGCGGGCTGTCAGACCCCCTTCTCCTCTCGGGCACGCCAGGCAGGCGCCCGGCCGCACTCAGCAGCTCACCGAGCCGGCGGGTGGCGCCGACCCCAAGTCCGAGAAGCAGTCGAACTCGCTCTGGCCCAGGAAGAGCTCGGGCAGCTCGCGCACGCGGTGCAGCCCGAGCTCGAGCTCCAGCGACGTCAGCGCCTCCTCGTCGATGAGTTCGGCGTCCATGCAGCCCAGGGCGTGAGCGGGCGGCGGTGGGGCCGGGGCGCCGGGCGCCGGCTGCAGGCACGGGGGCCCTCCCGGGACGCCGGGGGGCGCGGCCGCGCGGCCCGGGTACAGCGTCGCCACCGGCTGCAAGTGCGCGCCGCCGCCGGCCGGCGGTGGCACGGCCGGAAAGGGCTGGAAGGCGGGCGGCGGCCCGAAGGCCCCGTACGTCAGGGCCCCGGGTGGGGGCGGCGGCGGCGGCTGCCCCAGCGGAGTCCCTCGCGGCCGCAAGCCGCTGTCCAGGCCCGGGCCCGCGTACGGCTGCAGCGTCCGGAGCGCTTGGGGGCCGTGGGAGGGCGCGGCGGGCGGCGGCCTCTGCACCAGGCGGTAGCCCTCGGCGAGCATCAGGTGGTCGGCCATGACGACGGGCCGGATGCCTGCGGGGGCGGCGGCCGGATGGTCAGCTCGGGCGTCCCCGGGTCCGGGCCAGCTCCTTCCCGCGGCGAGGGATCCGCGTCCCGTGCCCTCCCCACAGCTCAGTCAGGCAAAGGAAAACGGAGCCCGACTCGTGGTACTGCTCAACCCAGGGCGCCCCGAACTCAGAGCTCCCGCGCGCCCCGGGGTTGCAGCTCCGGGCAGCTAGGACACCGCACACCACCGCTCCGTACTCGGACCTCCGCGCCGCGCCCCCGGCTTCAGCACCTTCTTATAGCAGAGGCGGGGCTTCCCCGCCCCCAGGCGCTCATTGGCTGGATGGGACACTCCTGGGCGGGCCATGCCGCTCCTCCAGGTTTCGGCCCCGCCCCTCCCGGAGCTCCGCCCTTTGGACCCCAGGCGGTGCCGCGGGCTAAGAGAGCTGCTTGGGTATGTTTGGCACTTTTCAAGGGGTTTGGGCTGGCTGTCCCAGACTCAGCCCTGGGACTGGCTGGGACCAAGCTCGAACAGACCGGAAGGTGGTTTAGGAGGGGCCAGAGGTTTAGGTCCCCAGAGCTGCAGGATCGCAAGGCCAACCTCTTAATTTTCCAGATGGAACCCGAAGCTTGGTGGTGGAAGGGGTTTCCTGGAAATACACACCAAAGCTTTAAGAGAAGCGAGACTGGAATATAAGCTTTGTGACTGTCACCTCTACACAGGGCACAGGCATCCATGTGTAGAGGCGCAGGCACCCACCTCACAAGGTCCCACGGAAAGCCAGCTGCTTGTCCCCATAACCCCAGGGGAACCAGGAGCTCCTCCAGTGGCTTCCACTTACTCGTCGGTGGAAGCATGTACTGAGTTGTTATTAAAGTCATTTATGGGCATGTCTCCTGAAGGACTCGTTCATCTTCATGTCCTCAGCACTTGGCTCAGAGGCTGGCCCAGAATAGGCTTTTAGTAAAGGTTTGGTGAATGAAGAAATGATCAAACGAGCTGGAACTCACCTGAGTTTCAGTTTCTTTATCTGTAAAATGGGGGCAAAAGCCGCACTGATCCTATTGGGTTCTTGTGAAGGTTAAATGAAGACACGTCCAGCTGATGTGGGAAACAAAGGCAGAAGGAAATGTAGATAAAATGAAATCTTCTAACCTGCTGCCCATTGACAAACACTTGAGATAAGGTAGATTATAATATTCCTCCAGGATCCTGTGCATCTTCTTTAGCATAGGAAAGCCCTTTGGAACTTCCCTTATTTTTAGTTCTCCCAGCCCCAAGGTGTACAGTCACTGGCTCTCACAATCTGGGAGCAGCGGAGAGCAGCAGGCAGGAGCGGCAGCAGCCCTTTCTGCCCACAGGTCCTGTCCCCAGGCTTTAATAAAATGACCATTTTGCACCCTAAATGTCTCAAGAATTCTTTCTTGGCCATCAGCTCCAGACCGCACCAACTTCACCAACACACCAACATTCAGCGAACCAAATCATGGTGCCTGGCACATAGTAGGTGCTCAAAAATATACCTCAAAAGAATGAAAAGCTGGACTTAGTTTTGTCCTTCAAGATCTGAGTTGGGATGTTGCACCTTCCCTTGATAACAGTAACGACTTGGATGTTTAGAGTGCCTCACATTCCACAAACGTCATAAGGGGGGACAGGGCATGGGTTAGCAGCCCCATTCTGCAGATAAGGAGACCAAGGCACACAAAGGAAAAGTGGCCTTCCTGCGGCCCTGCACAACCAGAACTAACATGGGGATGCGTGTGTCCTTAAAGCAGCTGGAGTCTCTCCAGGTGGCTAGGAGACAGCCACCCGAACCTTGCTCTCCACTTGTTTGCCACTGCCCCTCCCTTCTCTGGCTTCTCTCCCCTGGTAGTGTCCTTGGGACTTCCTGGAACTTGGGTTTATCCAGTTGGTACAGAGGGAAGAACCTCAGAAGCCCGAGTTCTAATCATGTCCCCACCACTGGCAGGGACTGTGACCCCTGGGTGTTGTCCCTTGATTCTCCAGGGCCTCAGTTTCCTGCTCAGCGAAAGGGAGATTGTAAGCCCCGCCTGGTCACCCTGCGAGCTTGTGGCAAGGTCACAAGTGACCATGGAGGGGATCATATTTTATGCAAAGTGTAAAAGCTGCACGGTAGAATTGATTCTCCTGAAACTCTCCCCGATTAAGGCTTCACATGGAAATTCCTAAGCCTGGCTGCATCTGAGACTCATCTAGAGGTGTGTGTCCAAAGGGGGGATGGTGGGCGGGCCTTTGAAAAATACTAAATCCCTGGCCCCACACAAATCTCCTGACTCAGGCTCCGTGAGGGTATTTTTGAACCATGAGAATTTATGTTTTTTAAAAAACGATCCTGTCATTCTGACAGAGTTGGTCTAAGGACACCAACCTTTGGGAGCCATTGTGCCATGAAACAGTTTTCCTTAAAAAGGAAGAAAAAAGTATATGAATGAGAATAATGTTTAGAAAGTTCTTTCCTTTAGTCAACAAATATTTATTGGGCGTCTACTCCATGCCAGACATTGATCTACTCATGGTTTTAAAGCTTTGGGGATCAAGCAATTCCTCAAGAACCTAACAAAAGCTGCAGGCATCATGGTCACAAATTATAGCACATAAATGCAGCAGGCTAGCCGATCTCTGGGGGACACTTGGGATCCTCAGGGGTTCATGGGGTTTGGGTTAAGAATCCCTGTTCTTCCTTGGGGACGTATAGTAAAGAATAAGCTAAGTAAAATAATTATCTGCATGTTAGAAAGTGGGGGAAAAAAGAAAAATAGGGTTGGGAAGAGATTGGGGGTACGGGTGGGGGGCAGCTTCTAGGATTGCACAGGACGGCCGGGGTTGGCTGTACTGAGACTGAGATCTGGGCAAAGACTTGAAGGAGGGGAGGGCTGTAGCCATGTGGGATCTGGGGCAAGAGCCATCCCACCAGAGGAGACAAATGGAGTGTGCTTCTAAAATCCTGGCGCAAGGGACCAGGGCGGTACTGCCACCAAGGACCTGCCCCAGCCGGGGAATCAGTTTCTGAATTAGAAACTGCAGGTGGTTCTGGGCCCCTAAGTTAGAGTAAAGCCTTGGGCTAGGAAGGTATGTGGCTGCCGCAGAGGGAGCTCTGGGCTGGAGGAGGTCAGAGAGGGAGGAGGGAGGAGGGAGGAAGATCACGTGGGGCTTGTAAGGGCCTTGTTGGGCCTCCTAAGGACTTTGGCAGATGAGTCGCCTGGTGCAACTTAGGCCGCAGAAGCATGGCTCTGGGCAGACCTCGTTTGCTCCCAGCATGCCCCTGAACTACTTTCTTGCTCTACCTTGGGCTGCCCTGGCACATTCATTTCTCAGGGCTCTTGCTGTCCCTTCTTCCTGGCATGCTTTTCCCTGAGTCAGTCCTTCCCTGTGTTCAGATCTCCATCTCAAAGTCAGCCCCTCGCAGACACCTTCCCTGGTCACTCCCTGTCCCTCTCTATCCCCTCAGTTCTGCTTTGCTTCTTAGCGGTTACCACGACTTGGCTTCCTTGGAAAGAAGGTCTCTGCACTAGCAGGTCGGCTCCCTGAGACCAGAACCCTTGATTCTCTTGGTCTACACAGTATTTCTGAGGCATCAGAACGGTGCTTGGCCCATAGAGAGGACTGAAACAGTTGTCAAGGGAATAAATTAGGCAGAGTAGAAGTTATTGCCCTTTTTGACCAAGAAGGAAACTGAGGCCCAGAAATAACTCAGGAGGTTGGCTGAGGTCACAAGGTGTGTGTCATGGAGCCAGAGTTGGAGGTAAGAAAGCTAGTTCATTGTTGTGGTTTTCCCAAACGTCCCCAATTTTCTGATACACCTCCTTAAATTTCCCTCTCCTTGAATGTGGGCTGGATACAGTGACTCACTTCTGACAAAGAGAATATAGCAGAGTTGACGGTGTCATTTCCAAGATTTGATCCCCAAAGATACTGCAGGTTTCTTCTTGCTCTCTCTCTTGAATCACTTGCTCTGGGTGAAGTTAGTTGACATGCCCCCAGGACATCAAGCAGCCCTAGGGAGAGACCCACATGGCTGGAAACTGAGGCTTCCTGCCAGCAACCTGTGAGGAGGTGAGACCTTATGCCAACAGTGGTATGTGTGAGCTCCCTCCAAAGCCGAGCCTCCAGTGACAGCCAAGGTTTTAGATGTCGGCAGCCCCAGCGGACATCTTGTTTGCAACCTCACCAGACACCTGGAGCCAGAAGGACCCAGCTACGCCATTACTGGCTTCCTGAAGCAGAGAAACTGAGATGATAAATGTTTGTTGTTTAAAGCTACTCGGTTTGGGGGACAATTTTGTTACACAGCAGTAGATAATACATGAATATAGCAACCTGTCCCTGGTTCATCCCCAAACGGGCCTTACTTTGCTCTACTTTTTATTTTTTCTAAGCATTCATCATCTTTTTTTTTTTTTTTTTTTTTAGATTTTGTGTATTTATTTATCAGAGGGAGAGAGTGGCAGCAGAGGGAGAAGTAGGCTTCCCGCTGAGCAAGGAGCCCGATGAGGGATTCGATCCCAAGAGTCTGGGATCATGACCTGAGCCTGAGGCAGACGCCTAACCTGTTGAGACACCCAGGCGTCCCGCATTCATCATCTTTTAACACATTCAATAATTCATTTACTTATCATGTTTAATTGTTTGTCTCCCTACCCCTAGAGTGTCAGCGCTACACGGCAGGGAACATTGTTTTATTTATTGATTTATCCCTACCACCTAGAGCAGTGCCTGACACATATACTTCATTAAAAATGAGATATTATCGGGGCACCTGGGTGGCTCAGTGGGTTAAAGCCTCTGCTTTCGGCTCAGGTCATGATCCCAGGGTCCTGGGATCAAGCCCCACATCGGGCTCTCTGCTTGGCGGGGAGCCTGCTTCCTCCTCTCTCTCTCTCTCTCTCTCTGCCTGCCTCTCTGCCTCCTTGTGATCTCTGTCTGTCAAATAAATAAAAAAACAAACATTTATTTAAAAAATGAGATATTATCAATATAAGACAATTCTTATTTTGGAAAAAATTGAAATGGGAAAAGAATTCCTGGGTGTGAGAATCAAGAAAATGTGTCGGCAGGTGCTCAGTAAATATCAGAAAGTAGAATGGCAGGAGGCTGGCTTTGGTGAAGGGAGCAATAAGCCCCGCCCCAATACAGACGCATTCCTAGCCAATGAGATGTGAGCAGAGGGGATTGGGTGGGGCTTCCTGGAAAGCTCTTTCCAACAGATGCAATTGTGCGGAAG